TACAGCAAACTAATGCATGAAGGCAGTACAGACCATGGCATACACAATTAAAGAATAATGAGATCCTGTACTGCCTGAGTGCATACTTTCAGGTATTCAGGTGACAAATTATTATTATTTTTTTCTTTTTGTAGTATTTTTCAAATAACGACAACTAACAAAAACACATTTCCATACAAGTTTTTATGAAAGGCTAAATTCTACAGTACCGTAAAATCTGTATTAGAAGCCGCATCTCTAACAGAAGTCGAATAATTGAGAAGCAAATAATCATCATTTCGCATCTCCTCTATTGCATTGTACCCTTTTAATAGAAGCCGCGGTTTCTAATACAGATTTTACAGTATTACATAAATTCCATATACTTGTACAAGTCCACAAGGAAAAAATCAAAGTGTCTCACCTTAGATGCCAGAATAAATAATGTCCTATTGTTTGGTTTTCTATTGCCTTCTTGAGAAGGAATCTGGCTAAATCACAGTCAAGATAAGATTCATATTTGAGTGCCTGCACAAGTTGTAGAGGATACTGTACCAACTCATCATCTCTGAAATAAAACAAATATATATCGATAATAATGAAAGAACAATTAGTATTCATACAAAGTTGTGGTTGAATGAAATAAGAAATGCAAAATAAAATCATGTGTATGAGGGAAACAATTCTGAACACAGATTGATAGCGCCCTCAAACTCCCATTTTGAAGACTTTTATTATCTTATCCGGAAGGGACGAATTTGGTGTGCGATACTTTGTTGCATCAAAGAAAATGGATAAAATGTTGTATTGTAATTTTGACGCAATCATTGCATGAATGCACACTCCAAAATAATGACTCCAGGAAAATTTACTCCATGGTTGGAACAAACTCTTAGTAAGATTGCTGTCATACACCTTCATGTATCTGGCCAACCCCTAAAATAATGCATAAAAGTATTAAAGGTGAACCGAAACGACCACAATAATAAGTCATCAAAACACGTATCAAAACAACTTTCCTTTTTAGCAGGAGTTACTGTGGACAGAAACAAGAAATACTGGCCATCACCAATTGAGATTTCGTTTTTCTGGTAACTTATGCAAATAAGGACATTTGAAGGATGTGACCAATCAAAGTGCCAGACAAATTGTATTTAAACCAACAGAGAAAGCAACGTTGATATCCCATAATATGCAAGACATACAAGAATTCAAACTATGGTAGGATGTACTTACGAGAAATCTGCTAGGCATCCTACAGCAAATGATCTAACTGAATTATCAGCGTACTGGTAGTCTAATAGTTCTAAGGCCTGGTCTGGTTGTAATTTGGGCCAAATCTGCAGCAAAGCCTGCATCTGAAAATGAAACAGACCAAATATAAAGAAAACTTCATCCATTATCCTGTCAGCCTCATGTACGTTTACAGTGACTTGAAAGGGTTTTTCTAGAAAAAAACTGCAAGAAGGAACACTGCAATTCAGTGGCGCCATCCAAGTGGGAGAGGAGTTCTCCCTACCAGGGTGTGGAGTTTTTGATAATTCTAAGTTAAAATGGAGCATTTTATGGCTTCCTTGGGGCCAAGATTACTATCAGACAGATCACAGTTGAAGAATAGTATGGTTGCCAGAGGATCTGCTCCCCAGGGTAAGGGGACGCATGGCCATGGCAAGAGGGCGCTGCACCCCTGTTCCCTTGTTTAAAAAAATCCCTGCTTGACCAGATAAGTGCTATCAGTGAATTTAGCAGTCACTAAATTTCTATGTTTTTATGTATATGGGCATATAATGGAGTAGCGTTGAATCTGTATTAGAAACCGCATTCCTAATAGAAGCAGCACCTATTCTTTTTGAACAATTGAAAACCAAAAATTCTTCATTTTTCATATGTGTAGA